CCCCAGCCGTCAGCAGGGCTGTGTGCCAGGAACGGCTCCGACCGGCAGCCGTGCGGCAGGGAGCGTTCGGCATGCGAGGTGCCTCCGTCTGTGCCGCATCCCGTGCTGCCCGAGACCAAGCCGCATGTTCCTCCCTGCATCCATCAGCTGTCACACATTTTATTAAAGATCTTTCAGTTCTTCTGGAAATCGCCCCTTGTTGTCGCCTCGCCATGGCACAGGGGGTGTTGTGCTGAGCTCGGTGCACGGGAACCCAAAGAATCACTGTTGCATCCAGGGGCCATCTTGTTCCTCCTTTGCCTTTCCTCCTGTGTGTTTTGGGACAACCCTGCAATTCACGTACATGCACACACTCCAGCCAAAGTGTATTTTAGTGCTATTCAACCCAAACTACATCCTCTACAAGACACCACCAACAGTTCATTGACATTCAAAGCCAAGACACAAAAAGATCTATAAGCTCGGCTAGATCCGATATTGCTCCCAGTCAAAAGCGATGGCTTCTCCCTCGTGCTTGCTAACCACAGCATGACAACACACCCCTGTGTTTTCTAGCTGAGTTCTCTTCATGCCCACATACACCACGCACTTTCAGGCAGCTCTGCAATTTATTTTCCAATCTTGCACTCAGCATTTCCATGCTCCCATGGGACCAGTGTGCTGTAAAGCCCCAGGTGACGGTGGCACCAGCTGAACCAGGATTAGTTACAGTGAATCCCACAGAAGCCCATATCACCCACAAGCCATCCTTCCTCCTCTTGTCACCCATACGCATAACTAGAGACAGGCTAAAATTCAGTCCAGCTTCTCTTGCACCCACCAAACAGCCAGAGGACCCCCTCCTCACCCCACCATCCCATCCCCTCCACCAAAATGGTGCAGTGGGATGCGAAGGCTTTAAGTAGACTCGAGGACCAACAAGGTGAGAGTAGCTCAATCCATCTTCCAGCAGGCAGGTCAAAAGGAATGGCACATTTGGGCTTGGGATCAAAACAGGGGCTCACCTCCATCAGCACAGCCTGGAGGTGATGGCAGCACTCCCCCAAACACCCAGCAATCAGTCCAACACTGATCTGCACCCCACTTTCCACCCACCACACACATACAGACACAGATGCTGCCCACAGTCTGGTAGAGGTATCAGTAGTCCACGTTTCCTTGGTTTTGGTTTTGGCCATGCTTGGGTGCATCAGGCTTTTCCACCCGAGGAAGGAGGGAATGGGTGAATGCCCAGGTGTGCCATTTGCACCCCGATGGTGAGCCCACGTTTCATTTTTGTGCCAGAGCCCAAACTGAGGGGTTAAAGGACCATTCATACGCCTGACTATACTGCCAAGTATTGGATTGTGACCTGCTGTGTTTTGATACTGTGGATTTTATTTTTTTTTAAGTTAAATATATTCTATTACTGGACAGCTGGAACGAAATGCAGAGTCTCTTTACATAGCCTGGAGAAACCCCATCATCCCTGGATCAAAATGGGTCTTCCTCTCCCCACCAGCTGGGTGGTGGAGAGCATCCAGCAGACACCAGCCCATACCCACGTCACCTGAGGAGAACAGAGGTAGGGGCCAGGGCATGGCTTTCTTAAGGAATTAATGACCCAGAGCCTTACAGGGGAGTAGAGGACTGCTGAGGAGCCTTACCTGCATCTCTGAAACAGAGATAAGGAAGGAGGAAAAGCCACCCTGCAGTTCCCCTGTGCACACGCCTGCCAGCACTTCTTCTCACCTTTTCTTTGCAGCTTTAACACTTTAAAATGACTCCAGGGAGGTTATCCCTGCCCACCGTGTGAGAGCAGCCCCCGCATTGCCAGGGGCTCAGCCATGCATGCCCAAGCAGATCAGAGCTCAGCAGGCAGCAGAGCTGTCGCAGGGGAGCTTTCCCCTGAAAGGCAGTTCTGCTGCAGGGGCCGACAGCCCGTCAAAACACATCTGCACGTTTTGGCCATACTTCATTTTTCCATACTTCATGCTCCCTGTTCCTCCTGCAATACGCAATGCCCCAAAGTGCCACTGCTCTACTCCCTCCCCGAAGCCACCGCTGGTGGGGAAACACATGGGAGATCCAAGCTGGACTTGTCAGGGCTTCCCTCAGGCATTTTTTGAGGCAAGTGGGAGTCCCAAGTCTCCAAGCAATTGCTCATTCACATGAATGTCCACAACCTGGCAGATTTAAACCCAAACATTGGCACACAGGTAGTCTCCAGGCTGCCAGGCTTCACCTGGCCCTGCTTGGATGCCTCACCTCTGTAGGAGGCTCCTTGCAAACACAGGTTTACACAAGCAGCTTGTCTGACACCAGCTATCTGGTGTGCAAGAGACCTCCCACTCCTCATCCTGACCCCTCAGGAAAGTAAAGACTGCAGCCATCACCCCGTTTCCAGCCCAGGCAGTGTTCACAGGGGCCGGGTTTCAGCGACCCCCAGGGTGCCTGCAGCCCTGCTGAGAAAGGACCAGCCTCTTGCTCCATCAAAAGCCCAAATCCTTGGAGGGCTGCAACACTGCCACAGATGATGGTGGACTGGGGGGAGTGAACCTTGAGCACATTTCTCGGACTGTGCAGCCCCTTGCATGCCCTGCAGCCCAAAACCACCCATCAGCTGCCCCTGCTCTGGGGAGGTTTCCTGCCAGCTGCACCACTTTGGGTCTCCCAGCTCCCTGCTGGGAAGACGGCACCACGGCACAGGGCTCGGTGGCATCTGCTGCCCACCCAGCGCAAATGCAGGGCTGGCCTCCCTTTCTGGGCTCCCAGCCTTTCTGACAGGCAGGGGGGCAGAGGAAGCCTGACAGCACGGAGAGGAGGGGGCTGGTGGAGGTCCAGGAGGAAATGCAACTGTACCTGCAAGATTCACCCTCGGCAGCCCCAAAGGCAAGGGCAGACATTTGGAGGTGGAGCTCAGGATTAGACCATGCTTACCCCTGCCTCCGAACTGCCAGCACAGCACGATGCTTCTCCTGTTCGCACAGCCTCGTGCAGGAGGAGCGGCAAGAGACCGAAGCCAAGTGCGGCCCTGGAGTAGCGGGAGAGGGCACCCACCCAGCGAGGCTAGGGGACGTAGCCATCGAGAAGGTGACAGCACAGATCCCACTTACTCCAGCCCAGCACAGACCATGTGTAGCCACCTGACCTGGCCTCCCTGAGGGACCCCCCACAGCTGACACACCACTGCCGGGCTGCGGGGACAGCCAGCCCCATGCAATGTGTCTCTGACGAGAAGAACAGGGGAGGGAGCAGGATGCAGACTGCTGTTTGCTTCTCCACAAGGCCATCAGCTGCAGCAAGAGCATCAGAGGCCAGGAGCCCACCGAGGAGCAGCCTTGGTAACAGAGCAGCGCAGAACAGCCCTGCCCAGCTGCAAGGCAGGGTGAGCTGGGCAGCAGGTCCATACCAGGGGGCTTCAATAGGACATGGGGGGGGCCAAACTCAAGTTCAGTGCAAGAACAGTTAGCAGGCTTTTCTCACACCCCATGGCTTTGAATGGTCCGGTAGGTGAGGCAGACAGGTCCATTTCACTTGCCACATCTTCCTATTTCGGCTTCACCCCTCAGCATATGAAGTGCTTTGGGATGAAAACTGATATACAGTATTCTGATACTATTAAGACATCCATGCAGACACACCATCACATGACAAATCCACTAAAGAGATCTGGGATAATTATCTTGAAGAGATTTCTTTAAAGCGCTGCTAATGCTATCATCGCATACGGGGAGGGAAAAAGTTAAAAAAAAAAAATAAAAAAACTCCACACAAATGGAAAATCAAAACCTGGATCTTAGTCAAGACAGATAAGCCATGGGGAAAACCTCCAGGCCTTATCCTCATCCAAGCATCATCATGAGAACAGGTCTTACCCTCACCTGGAGGAAAGAGTATCTCCAGCAGTTTTTCAGGCCTGCGAGCTGCTGACTCCCATGTGCCAGGGAGCACTCTGGCACGAGCAGGCAGGAACCCAGGAGGTGTTCAGGGGGTTAAGAGAGGCAAGAGGTGACGAGCACAGCCTACACCTTCTGCTGGCTCCTCCAACGGGCAGCAGCACCAGCTCTGCCAGAACAGACACCAAAATCCCTGTCCTGAGAACAGCCTTGACACCAGACAGCACCACTGCCCAGAAACCCAGGGAAAGCACCCTGTGGGTGGGCAGAAGCCAGACCAGAGCCACTCCTGCCCACCAGCCCCAGCTCACAGCCAAAGTCCATGGCCACTCTGCCTCGAGTCCAACACCGCAGCCCTGTGCAGACCCCCCTGCCCAGCCATCCACCCTCTCCACACCATGCAGCCCCAGGGGAGGCATATGGCCACCACACACACCTCACCCTGATTTCAGGTGCAAACTGGCTCACCCCCCAAGAACAGAGCCTGCCCAGGTGCCCTCACAGCATAGTCACAGCCTCTGCTGTAGCACCTCTGTGTCCCCAGCCAGTGCAGCACAGCAATGGGGGACCAAGAAAACTCCCTCTCCAGTAACCACCACACAACAGGAAAAATTACCCTCCCTTTGCACTTGTGGCCCCCCAAGCCAGGCTTTTTCCACCTCCATCACCCTCGCCAGACCAAACTCACCCTGTC